TATTTGAGTTGTTAGTTGGTTAAATAGAAAAAGACTATTTAATGTTGGAACAGGGAAATGCTTGAACTAGTTAAGAAGTTGGTCTTGATTCATATTAAGATATTCATTATTAGAAGACTAATAGATAGTAGATTGATAATGAGGAAATCAGTATTAAGATGTGTTTGTTTGAGACATATTGAATAAATTTAGTGAGTAAGTATTCTGGATGTTTTGTTAGTTTAGTTGGTGAATATTGGAGTATAAGGTTTAAGAATTTTAAAATATATGTAAAATTGTTCAAAAAATAAGTTTGTTTAAAACATCAAGGAAGGTTTTTTAAATTAATTTTCAAGTTATAGTATAATTTTTGTTATATAAGTTTGTGAATTAATTTAGATTATGTGAGACTTTTTGTTGATTTTCTTACAGAGTTTGAAAAATACAAATCTGATATTTAATGACAATATGTATTTTGATATCAGAAACAAATTCAATTAAGAGGTTAGGTGAGATTTACTTAATAAAATTTTGAGATATTGTCAATTTTTGTTAGACAACTTATAGATATTGAGAAGAAAATTTGTAACTTTTGTTGATTTTGAACAGTATAGGTCTAATATTTTGATATTATGTGTGTTTTTGTCTCAGAAACAAATTTTAATTAAGGGGTCTAGTGAGGTTTACTTAGTATGATTTTGAGATATAGTTGATTTTTGTTAAATAATATATAAACCAATAAAATTTAAATAGCCAGTAAGTTTTCCAGAAATGTCTAATAAGTTTTTCAAATTTAGTAAGTGAAATTTTGAGATTTGTTGGGTCTTAGAAAATTCTAATGGGTGAAAAAAAGTGAACTTTCCAGGGCAAGCCAGTAAATTTTCAGAAAAATTGCCAATAAATTTTTAGAGCAAGAGAATGTTTTTTAACAAAAGAGTTTAAAGTCTTTTTTGATGTAAAATTGTCAATTTTAATTCGTTTGTAATAAATAATATATCAAAATGTTTGTCTTGATGAGTAGAAGAAATTTTTCTTAAGTAAGAACTAAGGTTTGCTTAATAAAATTTTGAGTAAATGATAAAAGAAGAGTTAAAGAAGTTTTGATTATAGTTGAGTGAGTTTTAGTTTATTTGTAATATATTTTATATCAAAATGTTCGTATGAAGAAGTTGAGTGAGTTTGTATTAAGGAATATAAATAGTTTTTTTAGTATAATTTAAGAAAACTTTGAGTTTGTAGATTTTTAATTTTTTTAAAAGTTTTTTGACAAGTTTGTAAACTAAAGTTATAAAACTTTAGTAATATATATAAAGTGAGTAGCTAGACAAGTTTACTTAGAGCATCAAAGTAAGTTTTCTTAATAATTTAAGAAGTTGTAGTTATTTTTGTCTTGTTGTTTTTAGGTTTGGTTTGGTGTAAATAATTAACGAAAAGAGTTTTTTTTTTCTACTCCATTATCCACTTTTAATATATTGGCCTAGTCTTTTTTAAATAAGAATTACTAGGTATATTTTATATCTTTATAGACAGACTATATTGTCAATTCCTTTTACAGGTATATTAATTAGATAAGTTCTAAATTTTTATAAGCAGACTATACTATTTAATTATCTGGCCTTTGTAGAGTTTATCCAAACCTTAGCATCTATTTTACAAATTATTAGCTATACTCTGGTTAGAGTGCTAACAGATATTATATAATATTTTTAGGGGAGAGAGGGGTAGCTAGATATAATATCATATATATATTTTATATATGATATAATATGATGTATAGGGGAGGGAGATAACTCCCTTAATAAAAAAATATTATATAATAAATATCACAACCCTTATCCAAACTTCTAATTAAGATAGCACAGAAGAGCTGTGACCTGCTTCTAATTACTATAGTTAAGTTCTTTTCCTCTAGTTACTTCTTCATTAGTATGATTAGTGAAATATCTTGCCTAATACTTTGGTAAGACAGAATCTCAAAAACTCTAATATAATTTATATATTACTAAAAAAGAAATTTTAAATAGAAATTTATCAAATGTTATATTTTTATATAGTAAATTTTTAATTTTTGATTTATTTATATGCCTATTTAACTAAAATTTACAAAATGTACTTTTTTCCCTAATCCTCAATTCTAAAATTTGACAAAACAAATATTCAAGCTTTATTTAAGAAACAGTCTAATCAACAACTTTTGGAAGACTAAGAAAAAAAGATTCAGCAAGTTAGAAAGCTATATACTGGTCAAACATATACAATTTGACTATCGATTGTTGTATAATATTCAGAAGTAAATTGATTTCTGATTTTTAAATAATAGGTTGATTTTAGGTCTGATTGATTTTTAGAATTTTTTAGTCGATAGTTAGTCAATAGTTAGAGATTTTAATGCCAATTTTAATGCTAATAGTTAGAGATTTTAGTGCTGATTTTAGTGCAGATTTTAGTGTTAATAGCAATAGTTAAAGATTTTAGTATTAATTGTTAGAGTTTTTAGTGCCAATAGTTAGAGATTTGGTATTAATTTTAGTGTCAATAGTGATAGAGATTTTAGTGTTAATTTTAATACTGATCTTATTGCTGATAGTTAAGATTTTAGAGTCAATAGTTAGAAATATTATATCTTTTTTTTTCCTTCGGCAATTCTGTTTACTTTATTATAGGAACAGACTTTCATTTCTACATCGGCATACGAAGAAATCTAAAATCTATAAGTGTTCTAACCAAAGAGTAAACTTACTCCCGGCGTACCTCGCAGATGCCAAAATATTCACTTGCGATCAGGGCAAACCATTAAATCACTATGTTTTGCCTAGATGCGACCTGCCTAGCAACATTTAGCCTCCTCTAGAGATCAGAAACTCACTCCAGACTTATTTCACTCAGATTCCTCAGCTGGCTGTTGCTCGCCCTGTCAAGATTTCTGCTCTACAATAGAATGCTGCTAAACTGATAATACTTTCTCATAGAGAAGGAAAAAAGAAAAAAAAAGAGATAATAGGAAACGAAAAAAGAGTATATAATGAAAACAAATACATCAAAGAAAATGAATACTAATACTAAGGAATATAAAAAACTAAACTAAAAATCCAAAAGAAACTATCGCTAAAAAGAAGAAAACCTGCTAACCAGACGAAAACTTCTAATTATACAGAGTAACGATCTACTATTAAGTATGAGAGTCTTGACAAAAATAAAACTATAAAACTAAAACAAAATGCACTATAACTCATGCTAGAGGCTAAAAATTATATACAAGAAATATATTGTATATCTCAAAACAAGTTGCTTGACTTTTCTCTATTAAATCTATATTTTCATCCGAAAGTATAAGAACTTTAAAAACTCCATGTGACTTGTTGTTATCATTTCATTCATTTCGTAATACCTACCAATTTGTCATCATCTAGTTTCTCAATATGGAAATAGTAAACAATGCCGATCTTTTGGAGGGATAAGCCGAATTCTCCACTTTTTGTTGAAAATTTTGAAGCCAAAAGACAGCAAAGGAATATCGAGTTTCTGCGAGTTTTCCAACCAAGAAGTGTTGTTTCAAGAATTTTTCAAAGTCTTCTATCTTCAAACTAACTTTAGTTTTCTTTTTTACTTGTTGTTCCTAGAGACTCCTCTGGTTTGGATACTAAACGCAAAGGGAGTCCACCTCAGAAATAGCAGAGAAGCAAAGCTTGACCCCTTTGCAAACCATCCAAAATGCCTGCTCTTCGGTGTATTACGTTTAAAGACTTCATTGATAACAGTTCGTATTAAGAAAACTTCAAGTTGTTGTCGACTTCTAGGCTTGAATCTTCAACTTGCTTTCGGTGTTAGATTGGTACAAGTGATCATCGGGAAGAGTGTGATTAAATCCTAATGTTATACATTAGAAATATCATATTGATAGTTAGAAATTTTATCAAAATCCTAGTATAAGACCCATCATATTGATTCTAATTTAATTATTTAATTTTATTTAAAAAATATAAACATAATTTATATAAAATAAAAAATGTTTATTAATCTACAATTTAAAATAATTTATTCACTAACTGTTGAATTTATTTAGTTGAAATTATAAAATGCTTATAGTTAAATCACATAATAGCTTGAAAAATTGCATATATAACCTAGAGCTTTAACTTTTTATAACGTAGCCAAATTAAAAGGATATTTTATAATATTCTATAGCCCCTAATATTTGCTTGTGAACATTTCTAATGATATTGTTATAATAATGTAATACTGTTAAAATATCAAAAATTATTCTACAGGCATTATATCATCATTAAAAATTTTAATTAAAAATGTTACGAGTATAGGAACCTTGAAATATATCAGATACTTAACAGTATACTGTGATATTCTGTATTATCACAACTTCTTCGTGCTAATCTATAATATTCACAGCAGCTATGAAATATCTATTACATAGCAGATGCATTAAATTTAGATAAATAATCACCAGTTAAAAAAAATATAATTCCACTCTAGATAAAGTAAATCACTCTAAAATAAATATTATAAACAGTAAATTAACTATATGATATTCTAACTCTTTTGTATCTTTTTGTTAGTTGATAGAGTTAGATAGGCTATAGTAAAGGCTGGTTTTTGAACAAAGACTGAAGTTTATTCAGTTCTTGTTTTGAGCCAGTCTGAAGCTAAAAAATTGGTCTATCTCAGTCTTTAGACCAGATCATTTTGGACTAGTTAATTCTTAAGTCTGAAACTGACCATAATTAGACCAAACTGAAGCAAACCAGACTATTAACATTCCTATCTATAGGATATGCAATAATAATTAGAAAAATAGCATAAGTGTGATGATTGATAGATTGCTTAGACAGGACCAAACCAAACTAAATAACATTAATTAATTGGTCCTATTAGAATGAGAATTTACTGTATCAGACCAATTCAACCCTATTGGTTGAGAAATTGGAAGCAGATTCATCTTTTAATATAATGACTTAGATAATATAAATTAAGATGCTTTAAAAATCTTTCATATTGAAACAAAGTATTCAAAATAAATTTTTATCTAGACTTATATGTTCTGTCAACATTCTCCATCTCTGCAGATTTTGAAAATGAATAAATGCATTATGTATATCTTTTTTAACTCCAATTTCTTCACTATAATAATATCTAACTTACTAGCATTACCCATTTTTGCTAATTATAGTTACTAAATAAATACTTTAAGTTCATTCCAATTCCATTAAAACAACAATGTATTACTTTGACTTATGTTCTATTAGCATTCTCTATCTCTGCAAATTTTTTGAAAATTATGAATGACTTATATTTATCATTTTCAATTTCAATTTATTAGCATAATATCAAATTCTTATTTGAACTTATATACTTCATTAGCATTCTCCATCTCTGCAAATTTTAAAAATGAATTAGCACCTTATATATATACTTTTTAACTTTAATTCCTTTGCTATAACAATATCCAACTCACCAGCCTTACCTTTTTGGATAATAGATGAATGCTTTAAGTTCATCTTTTTTAACTTCAATTCTATTAAATCAACAATATATTACTTGAACTTACATTTTATTGGTGTTTTCTATCTTTGCGAATTTTTTGAAAATGAATGAATGCCTTGTATTCATCATTTTCAACTCCAACATTATATTTTTCTATTAAGGTTCAAAAAAATTAATATAGCATTTTTGAAAGTACGCTTGCTAATACCTAACAACAAAGTCCATCAAAAAAGATACTAGAAGTGCAAAAATATATCAAACAAAAAGTCCACCTAGAGAAGAACTCTAAAATCGTCAATTCTAATAATTAAAAGATATTAACAACAAAAGACGCAATGTTATTATTAATTTAATTGGTAATTGGTAGATCAATTACATGTTATCTGCAGGTACAACAGATTAAATATAGATCTGCATCAATAGACAGCAATTTTATACATATTATGACAATAGTAATACAGAAAATTCAAAGTTATGCTTTTGATATTTTTATTAAAAATGTATTAAAATAAGAATTTTGAATTCTCTGCTATGCTTTAGACAATGAAAATTGCAAAAAAAAATTATTACTTGCAGATAATATGTATTAATTTGCTTTCTAATTTAGGTTCTTTTTTTGATAGTTTTTTTTTGATTTCACTATTAAAGTCAATATTGCCAGTGTTGTCATTTTTCTGATAAACTTTGTTGTTATATGTTTTTAGTTTCTGAAATTGTTGATTTTGGAGTTCTTTTTTGTGTGAACTTTTTGCTAATATTTTTTCATGCTCTTGATACCTTTTCTGATAGATTTTGTTGTTAGATATTAACAGACACATTTTAAACACTGCTACATTAATTCTTTGAACCTTAATAAAAACATAATATTAAATATTGTAAAAGCATTGAAGTTAGAAAGATTTAATATAAGATATTTATTTATTTCAAAAATCTGCAAAGATAGAGAATAGTAATAGAACATATAAGTCCAGATAAAAGAATCTGTTATTTAAATGAAATTGGAGTTGAAAAGATAAATAAAGTATTAATTTATTTTCAAAAATTTGTAGAGATGGGTAACGCTAGTAGGGCATTTAATATCGGATATTATGTTGAATAAATTAGAGCTAAAAATAATAAATATAAAATTCATTAAAATAGAGAATGCTGATAAAATGTAAGTTCAAGTAATATATTAATGCTTTAATGGTATTGAAAGAAATTAAGTTGAAAGGATATAAGGTGTTTATTTAATTTCAAAATCTGCAGAAATAGATAATGCTAATAAAACATATAAGTTCAGGTAAGAATTTATAATTTTAATGAAATTTGAAGTTAAAAAAAATTAATATAAAGTATTAATTTATTTTTAAAAATCAAAAGTTGTTACAACTCTTTCTGACGATCACTTGGTCAACAACAATCTACTGAACTACAGGTAGCAATATAGGAAAGCAACATAGTGAACACAACAATTTTCCTGGTTTTGTGTTAAGCAAACTTGTTGTCGACGAAGCCTACAATACGTGAAATATCGAGAAGCAGGCGTATAAGAATATTAGGTGGATTTGTGCCTAGATCAAGTTTTTTCTATCTTTGACAGACTCTCAAGCACGTTTGGCATCCAAACTAGAAGGTTTATTCTAGAAACAAGTAAAGTCTCTGGGCAGGAATATTGAGTAGATACTAGGAAACTGAACTATACAACTGTAAAACTTACAAGAAGAACCTCACATATTCTCGTTGACCCTCCACTTTTTTTTTCAAAAAAAATTTTGTAAAAAAGTAGGCAATTTAGCTTACCCCTTCAAAAGATCAACATATTGTTTACTTATCAAATTGGTCAGCATTGTTTACTTTTTTTCCTGTCACAACAAACATGTAGATACTTATAGAATGTGGATATATGGATTATATGCCTTGGAAGTGGCAATCTGAACAAACAATACTTTGAGACCAAATGCGCGAATTTCTGACTTCTCTATGGTGCCTGAAGCACACTTTTGTTTATGCTTCTATGGGAGTTTAAACAAAAGAAGCTGGAGAGCTTATAGTGCTAGAGTACAGTGCTGATGTTGAAGAGCTTTTTTTTTCCTTTAAGGTTTTTGCTTAAATATACTAATTAGTTAAATTAGAGTAGAGACTAGTTTAGATAATAGTATATAATTTTTATAAAGTCCAACACAGGCTTATAATTGTGACTGTCCGGTGTGGGTGAAAAATCTCATATTTTTCTTTTTTTTCATTTTTTCCTTACCCCTTTCTCTTCTTGTTTATATCTTTTATCGTATTCCCCTATACCTCTGTATTTTTTTTTATATAGTTTTCTTTTTCTTTTCACTTCTCTACGAGAAGATGTCATCAGATTGGTGGTATTCTATTGTAGAGCAGTGGATCAGACGAGCTCTCCGGTTAGGGTATTACTTAGGTTTTACTTTGCCAGTGCGGCAGGTCACCAATGGGTACTCATTAGAGCAGCCATGGGATGTTAGGATCATAAGTTTAATGTTATAGCAATATATTTGTAGTCATCTACAAGATTGAAGTTTTATTAAACATTGATCACTAGCGCGATCTTGCCTAAGTAAAAAAAAAAAAAAAAATTATTTTTAAAAATCTGCAGAGATGAGTGACACTAGTGGAATATTTAATATCCAGTATTATATCGAAGTATGCCGAATGAATAAAAATTGAAAATGATTAATATAAGACATTCATAAAAATTTGCAGAGATATGGAATATAGATCCAAGTAATACATTGTTTTAATAGAATTGGAAGGAATTGGAGTTGAAAAAGATATATATAGAGTACTCATTTATTTTCAAAATCTGCAAAAATAGAGAATGCTGATAGAACTAGGGATTTTACTCAAACTATTTGGGATGTCCCAAATTATATGATGAATAATATCAAATAAGGTATTATCTCATTATTATTGCTAAAATTGTGTGATGCTATTTATCATATAGTTTGGGACGTCCCAAATAGTTTAGATAACATCGCTATAGAACATGCTATTTTTAATGTTTTGTTTCAATATGAAAGGTTTTTAAAGCATCTTATAGTAATTTATATTATCTAAATTATTATATTAAAGGATAGATCTGCTTCCAATTCTCAATCAGTAGGGTTGAATCAGTCCAGTTTAGTTAGTCCTAATAGGATCAATCAATTAGTGTTATTTGGTCTGATCCAACAATCTTACAATCGCTGCATTTATGAAGTTCTAATTATTATTACATGTGATTTTTTAAACTATTACATGCTTTTTTTTTTTTTTTTTTTATTAATATAATGTCATAGTAGAAACTTTATTACAAGTAGAAAAATAATTCTAAACCTAAAGATTTCTAACTACATTTGTATTACATAAGGCAATTAATATGACATTACACCACCTATTTCCTATAAAATGCTATAGTTAATTATTTTAAATTAATTTCTAGCTAGGATAGGTTGGAGAAGACCTAAGGTGATAGTCATAGCATTAAGTAAAGCATGCAGTTAAAGCATATCCTTGTAAGAGCCATTTATTAATAAAGAGATTAATATCTAAAGGTTGTATTGTAATTTGAGAATTATTTGAAGAAATAAATATATTTGGAAGATAAGATTTTGTACGTTTAGCTTTGGCAGTGATATTTCGAGAGAGTTTCCATTGATGTTGATGGATGTTACGAATAGACTATAGTTTTTGACAGTATTAAGATAAAAGATTATTAAAGAGATTAATAAGAAAAGAGTCAGTATGTTTATTGAGTAATGTTTTGATATTGTTGTATATAGTAGTTGAAAAGGTGCCGGTAATTGCATATAGTATAGAGAGGTAGTATGGATTAGAAGAGTTGGCAGTAAAGTTTAGTAAGATATTAAGAAGAGTATTGAAGCAATTGTTAGAAATTTGAAGAGTTGTTAGAGTTGTTTGAATTATGTTGATGAGTCTATGAGAGAGATTGATATTATTATTGGGACAAATAAGTAGATGAAGAGTGTTTTCAGAGTTAGAACATCGAGAACATGTTGATGTGTTGTAGAGATGAGAGTATCGAATATTAAGATTTTCCATAGTAGGAAGATTGTTTGTAAGGATTTTAATATGAAAAGAATATTTAAATGTATCATGTTCTAAGGATTTTAATATTTTGAAGTTTAGAGCCCATTTAATTTCTGGAATGTCTTTAGTGAACTTTAGTGTAGACCATTTTGAGAGTTCTTGAATTGTGATAGTATTTTTAATAAAGGTACGCATTTTAAAAGGTATTAGATGGTTATTCTATAAAAAGTGATTTGGAAGAAATAGGAAGGAAAATAAAATATTTGTTTTGGAGCATCTTCTTTTGGCGAATAAGTTAGCCTAGTTGTGATAAAAGTTATTAGATTGAGATTTGACTTTGTAAAGTTGTATATTAATGTTTTTAGTGTTCTTGAAATAATTTATAAAAAAGATAATATCCCAATTTTTGTTTTGTATAAGTTTAGTAAGAAGGGTAGATTGTAAGTTCTTGATCATAGTTTTGTTATCAATATGAATGTTGATAGAGGAGTTGAATAGCAAAGCAAGAAAAAGACTAAAGATTACCTCTAGTTCAATACAAGTAGAGTCAGAGTATGAATGAGTATTGGCATTAAAGCAAATAGAGGCATGAGATTTGCAAACCCATCCTATGCCAGTTTGAATATTTGGAGATTGGATATTTTTAATAGAGCCATCTGTATAGAATTCTAAAGTGTTGTGATTAAGGTTATTTATAAGGTGAAAGAGTTGAATTAATTGATTTTGGTAGGTAGGTGAATTTACTGTTTGTTGAATAAGTTGAACTTCATAAGAGGATATATTTAATTGGGGTTGAAGTGAAAGAGTAGTTGACACTAAAAAATGATTATTAATATGAATGAGAGCTAAAATTTCTTAATAGTCAATTTGTAATTGATTATCATAAAACTTAAGTTGATTGTAAGAAAGTTTAAAAGAATAAAGAGTTGGTAAAGATAGTAATGTAGAGGAAGTAAGTGAAATAAGATCAGGTGTTGAATTTGAAACTTTGTAGATATTGAGTTGTGTGGGATTAATTTGGTGAGAAAGATAAATTTGCTGATTATTTGTATAAGAAATTTGAAGAAATGAGGAAGGATTAAAGAGGAAAGATGTAGATAGGAGATCAATAGTATTAATAAAGGTATTTGTAGAAGGCAGATTAAGAGAAGGCCAAGTTGTAGATATAGTATTTGTTTGATTAAGTTGAGAAATTTGTATAAACTATAAGGGTTG